CTGTTGCTGCTGCTGTTGTTGTTGCCTGCGAGCAATCTTCTTCATCTGCAAGGAGACGGACACCCCGGCTTTGAGGTTCTGACTGGGAGAGGAGGCGAGCGGGGTGTGTTTAACGCAGCAGCGGACAACTGCCGCCCGTGTTTCACGGAGTGCTGCCGCGATACAACCCTGCTCAGGCTCCTCCGCCCGACTCCTCCGCGCTCGTCCCTGCGTGAGGAACGGGGCTGAGAGATCAGGCTTCGCTGCCTTTGCCGGAGCTGCCATGTGCGGTTTTAACACCCGAAGGACTTTGTTTTACTGCAAAGTGAGCTTTTCAGAGCCACACGTTTTCTGGTTTCGCCCCTTAAATTCTGCACACCCAGAAAGGTTTCAGCTTCTGGAAGAATGAAGTGGGAAACCCTTCCAGTCTTTCTGTCTCAAGGGGGAAAAAGCCAGTAGAAAAAGAGGAATAAAACCACCCAATGGGAAAAATATTGAGCCCTGCAAATGTCAATTAACCAATTTTTGTATTCCTCATTAAGTTTTGCTACCACTAGATACATGTTGTCGGGCTGGCTGGACCTGTGGATGGTCCTGCGTGGCTGTTCTTCTGTTCCTCTGACCATTTTCTCTGTTTCTAAGCTGTTCTACCTTTCCTTTTCGGTGTGTGAGCACGTGCGTTATCCCACAGGTACGCGGAACTCGTCTGCGGCCCGAAAACTCACCTTGGCTCGTTGATTCTGGAACCAGACCTGCACCACCCGCACGGTCAAGCCCGTCTCGGCTGCCAGGGTCTCTCTTACCTGTCCACAAAACCCGGAGAGCTGAGTCAGAACTGAAGTTGAGCTTAAAAGGATCCAAGCCAGCAGTTGTGCTGAGCGGGCTCCTGCTGTACCTTTCTGCAGGGTTTTGAGGAAACCTCGAAGGAGGCCTTGAACGCCCGACGCTGCTGCGTGGTAAGGATGGTGCGCGGGCGCTTGGAGCGCTTGTGGTCTTTGCTCTCCTCGCTGCCCTTGCCGTGCGGGTGGCTGCCGTCCTCGTCCTCGCTTTTCACTGCAACGGAAGGTCAGTAGCGGCGACTGAGCAGAGAGTGGCCTCACAGGGCCATCTCCCCACGTGAGGATTCAGAGTTTTGCTCCTCCTGAGGAGTGCAGAACGAAGCCAGCAAGGCTCGTGGGCTGAGCGGGGGCTCCGGGGAACGCTCTCAGTTCAGAGGCAGAGCCGATGGGCCACGCTGGCTCCGTACCGTCCGTTCTGCATTTCGCAGAGCAGCCCCCCACCCACCTCTCCAGATCAGCCGAGTAGATCTCAGCAGCCTGGTACCTCCTTGGCTGCCAGTCACCAGGGAGAAAAGATGCTACAACCTCCCCCTACCTACCTCTCTTCCCTCTGAACCCTCCCCCATTCAGGGACCAGGCGGTTCCTACCCCCTACAAGTTCACCCCAGTTCCCCACCCTCAGCACCACTCTGGCCCCTCACCGGACTCGGTGGGTGCCGGGCTGATAGCGCTCAGCATCTCCTTCTCCTTCTCGTAGTCGCTGCGGCACAGGAGCTGCCCCTCCTTGAGCACAAACTCGTCTCCCCGCTGCAGGCGCCGCTCACACTCGCAGCAGTAGAAGCAGTGAACGTGGTAGACGTTCTCCAGCACCCGCATGATGAGCTCGGAGGGGGCGATCACCTTCAAGCAGCTGCTGCACTTGGTCTGGAACAGCCTGTCAGGAGGGTGCCGGTGGTTAGACACTTGGCCCCGGGGAAGATCAGCCCTGGGTAGAGGCTCAGGAAGCCCAGGGAAGAAGGGGGTGGATGTTTGGATCAGTGCTGGCTCATCCCAGCAGGAAGCGTGCATCCCAACTGGGCTTTGGGGCTTTCTGACCTTCCTTAGCCCCAGGGAGGAACACGAACTTGCCTGGCCCAACAGGACGGAGCCCTGTGTCCCCTCAGCCTGGCTTTGTTACGTTGCTCCGAGACTTTACGGACCCCTCCAGGACCGTCTCCGGGGTCCAGAGGAACCTCACGCAGGGAGTCCCATGGGGGAGGCTGTTTGTGCCCCACGCCGTGTCCAGAGAGAGAAATAAACAACCGCTGAGCGCCCCGCGTACGGAGCAGATGGTTCTGATGAAGTAATTTGGGATCAAAACAAATGTGAGCGGTGGTGGCTGCTGGCTGACAGCTTCTATTTAGCCACTTGACAAGAGAAAGTAATAAAATAGGGATTAATTAGGCTGTTGTTTAAACACACAGGATCTTCCCCACCAGCAGGGAACTCATAAACTGGGATTGAGAACAAGACTGGGTTAATCCTCCTGGCAAACTCTGTGGAGCAGGATGAAGAGGCTTACAGGGGTGGGCTCATCCCTTCCAAATACCACCATGGATTTGTGCCGTGCGGTGGCTTTCGGCTGAAGTGTCTGGGACATTCCAACTGGAATGGTCAGGGATTTCGCTCTCCTTTGTGTGAGTGTGTTTGCGTGCGTGTTCCTCTCTCCCGCCCTGTCTCTCTCGCTCTCCCTTTCCTCTTTGTCCTTCTGTAAGTCACACTTGGAAAATAATAATGGAGTTGGAGTTGAAAAGCTGGGAGTAAAGAGCAGTCTTTTAACCACAGCCTGTCTTAGCGAAGGAGCAAACTGGGAGCGTGTTCCGGGCACAATCCCAGTCCAAATCTGGGCTGAGTCCAAATCTGTCTCTCTCCTAACACCAACATCCTTCTGTTACAGCAGCAGTGAAATACTGAAAAGAATAAAAAGACCCAAGGACAGAGCCAGCCTGTGATCACGGCTGTCTGGGATCAGTCAGGGACACGGGATGTCTAAGCATGAAGATATCAACGTTCCTGGACTTTCAGCCCAGATGGAAGGTAACGGTGTTGTAGTCCGACCCCGCGTTCATCGCAATCCCAGAGAATCTCGCCCAGGGATTCCCACCTCAAGCCCCTTCGCTGGCAGTGGGTGTATGGTGAAGACCAGCCAGTCACGGTCTGGGGGGTCCCAGGGAAGGAAGATCTGTCCGTATCCATTTGGAATTGGTTCCAGGGGCTAACTAACTCCTCACTCCTTATTTCCCATTTGAATCCTACATTATTCCATGGCACCAACTAGACTTTGTCATGTCTTTACCTTCTTGAGAGCCGCTTTCTAGTACTTACACCAATTGGAGCAATCAGACTATTATTCCCAGGTTTTTGTCCCTTATCCTTCAAACGGCCAGATTAAAAGCCAGTACTGACTTTCCTACTCCTGTAATGCACCCAGGCCAAGCTGGTTCCACCCCAGAGCCCCAAATCCAGGGAACAGACACATAGACCTGACAAAGAGGAGCTTTACTTGGCTATCCTGATCCGACTCCAAGTAAGGAACAGGGTAGTTTAGGAAAACACTGGTGGAAAACTCCCTGTCTTGTTTCACACTTGTGTTTTCTTCATCATTTTTATCCATGTAGATAGCGGAGCATTCCCTGGGCCCTTATAGATTTATAATCTCAGTGATATCTCTGGATGAGGAAAACAGCCAGGATATCTCTTAGCCAGGTGGAGGGAAGCTTGGAGCAGGATGTGCGGGCGGGCTGATAGCGAGAGGGATGGAGCAGAACAAGGAAACATGGAAACAGAGCTGGGAAAGGAGACCTCTTCACCTACAAGGCACCCAGCCACCTCCTCCCGCTGCACTTGGGACGAGGCCGCTAACAAACCTTATTTAACGCTGCTGCCACGTGCCAGATTTCCACGAGAAGGGCACTTTTTTTTTCCCGGCTGTCGGGTGAGGGAAGCGCCGTTCCTGCAGCGTAACTCAATAACGCTTTCGGCGGCGCAAGGCCCGCACCCTCCCATCTCCCAGCTAAGCCCCGAAAACAAATCCGCTCCGCTTTGTACTAATTGAAGAAAACATCCAGCAAGCAGCTCATAAACACGGTGTCAGCTCGCATTACACAAAATTAAAATTCTCAGCCCCTCCAACACCAGGAATTCCTAAAGAGGCTGGTTTTAATATTGCCTGAATCCATTTAAGTCAAGGTAATATTGTTTGGGTTGCCATAGGAACAAAATACATCTCTGTTGCTGGCAGTGGGTTGCAAGGAGGTTTGGGAAGCTGTGCCGTGGATGCGGCTGCCTGCCTAGAAGCCTGCAGGAACTATGCTGGGGGACAGCCCGAGAAAGGAGCGTGTGCCCAGGTTCGTCACAAAGCGCGTTTAGGAAGAGCAGCGACACAGCGAGATCACCGCACGCTCCCAGGGAAAAGCCTCGGCAACAGCAAGACCAACTCTAAGTGCCTGTAACTCACGACAACTACATCCTACTTCGCTTGGAAAGACTCCCACACCACTTGAGCCCCATTGTCCGTGTGCCACCGCTTCTATTTTGACTAAGTCTCCCCATGTCCTTACTCAATACTCCTCAAAATCCCATCTGAGCTTGATCCCAGTTCAAAGATTTCCTTCCGGGAGGTGGGATAAGGCTGTCAACTTCCATTCCTGAGGAATTCAGAAACCCTCCAGCAAGCAGAGGCAGGCGCGTGCACGCAGGTACACATCCCACATCCTTCTTACCCTCTTGCCTCAAATTGAATACTTTTGCAAACCATAGAATTAGTTTTTCCTGCTGGAGGACTGCTCACCTGGATGGACAAAGTGTCACTAGCAGGAAGGCGGATGGGCTTATAAGCAGGAACGTCTGGGAATTGCAGAGAAGGTGGCTCTGGATTAGACGGAACGTTTACTCACACGTCAGCGTTTGGAGGGAGGCTTGGAGCTACAGGCACAGGGTTTGGCAGCCGGTTCTTCGCGCTGACGGACACTTGAGGCAAGAGGACTGGCCTTGCGGGCAGAGTAGTGGCCTGGCAGCTGCCCGGTACGTCTGTAGCGCGTGCCAACGTGGAGACAGCACGTGTCACCCAAGCACGGATGAAGATAACGGTATCTTAAAGTGAGCTTTGATGCTGGGCTGGAGGCCAAACGCACTGGCTGCCCACACTCTGCCTGCCAGGAGGAATCTGGGGCCAGCTCTGGGGCACATGGCTGGCGGGAGCATGTGCAGTGCTGCTGTGGGAGCCCCAGCGCTATTTCTCCGTTTCTCTTTTACGCCCAGGCACTACGGCAGTGCCCAAAGTTTTGAAACCTGCAGAAATCAGGGTCCCAACAGTATCCTGTAGTGAGGAGTTATGTACTCAGTGAAAAGCAATTCCTTTGTTTCATAGAATCCTAGAATCACAG